CTGCTGCTGCTGCTGCTGCTGCTGCTGCTGTACCTGAATTGGCTTTAGAGTCGGACCAGATGCATTCAGAGGCAATTCTGGATGATCAGTCCCCAACCTAAGAATTGATGAAGACTATGGTTAGTTGCATGTCTGCCTGGAAAGAAACTTAACTTACTTTTTTATTCTTTGGCATGGAGACGTTAGAGCTCCTAGACTGGATTGTGTAGCATTGTGTTGTAGCAGTTTTTTGCAGATAGGACATCAAAATATTCAAAGGTATGTGCTGTGCACAGTATATATTACCCAAGCATTGCCAATAATACTGCAGTTGTTGGTTTTATGTTGTAAAGTGCAAAGGCTGTACTGTGTGGTTTTTTTCTTTTAGTTGAGCACATTGTATATGTATGCCCTCACTGAGGGTGAGCTTTCAGGCTACATGCTGAATGCCAAGACCACTGCTTTTAGTTTATTGTGTACTGCTGGCTGATGGTCAAATGCAAGTTTGCCCTGTGTCTGTACATTATGAAGACAGAAAAGCTTCTTCAGTAACTGGGTTATTGAAGTGAATCGTGCTGTTATTCTTTGCTGGACTTCTATGGCTCTTTGTGTAAGCAGGCTGAGAAAAAAAGGCGGCCTAGACTGTTGCTTCCATTGTCTTTTATCAGAATTAAAACATGATTTAATCTTTAACTCTTTTAAAAATAACTTTTGTAAATTAGGTCATAGGTAGGCACCAGCAAGGATCACCTATGTGTGTGGCTATAGGGTGAAAAATGAGGGAGAAAAGGACCTTGAGTTCTCATTGCTCCCAGTGACAGAGTACACAAAATTTTTAAGTTTTATGGCACAGAACACTCAAGGCATTCTAAATGTTATTTCACTGGAATGTATCCAACTTGGCTGTTTTGTCCCAAGCTCAAAACAAAAAGCCTTTTCTGTTTCATATACATCACTACAAAAAGGTAGCCATGTTGCAACTGGTATTAGTGTTTTTTTAAAGCTTTGTGGCATCTTGAATTATAGAGGGTTGAGTCTATTTTAAAAAAATAAATCAATGACATTAATACCAGTTTCAAGAGCAAAACCCTTACAACCCCATCAATTTTTGCCGGGGGGCGGGGGGGGGGCTGCTAGCTTAAATTTCTGTGATGTAGGAATGGAGGGGAAAGAACAAAGACTGGTACTCAGCCTGTATGAGGATGGTATACAAGCCCTTGCTAAATTGAGCATGGGGCGTTTTTTTCACGCTCAGTATACTGATTACTGTAACTCCCTTTCATCTTTCCCCACACATTGTGAAACATGCACATATCCCTATCCAACTTATGTTTCTTCTACAACAGTAGCCTCCAATATCAAAACAGTCAATATGGTTAGCAGTCAGGAATGTTGGAATTTTAGTCCATCCTCATGAGGTTGTGTTGGGAGAGGTCATGTTACGTCTTTATACAAGGCTGCTCACTCACTAAGGCAATTTGAATTTATTCAGAACAGGATAATATATGCAAGTAACATGCAGGAAGGGAGTAAGAATTTAACTTTTCTAGAAGATGCAGCAAAAGCTAATTTTATCGTATCTAGCTGCTCAATCGAAATGGAAACTGACCAAGGGATATATGTTTGGTGAGGGCCAAATGTAGTAGACAAGAATATGTTTAATTAAGAGTTTAATACTGAAGGCAGAGTTGCTATTGCATTATTAAAACTAACAAGATCTCAGCCCGAATAGAAGCCTTGCTAAGATGTTCTGCTCTACTTCCATGTATTTCAATAAATAGAAATCAGATCCCTGGTCAGACATAATGTTCATCCACGGTGGGTTTGGGCAGGTTGCTTCTTAATGGAGTGTTTGTAGTTAAAATGCTACTCAGTAGTTTGTAGGAAAGTTTTTGTAACAGTCTGTCATCCTATTCTGACATCTGCAGTGTGTGAAACGTAGTATTTTAAAAGGCAACTTTTATTTCCAGAATATGTGGGGAAGTATGGAATTTCCCAAGCTGGAAAATAGGTGAATAATTTATTGTTCAGAAATAAGCTGACTGATTCTTCAGTTAATTCCATTCTTATTTAACATTACAAAGTTCTCATTCTTTGATTTAAAGTTTTGTACTAAATGACATGTTTGCTTTTGTGGGGGGAAAAAGCTGATGCTGTATGGGTGCAGACATACCTGTTTCATGGTAATACGCAAAGTATATGTTGTAACTTAAGGCTTTATTACTTTGCCAAAATCAGCAGTAGACACGGTGTTTTTAGGGTGCGCTGTTCACGTTTAGGTTGCCTAACATGCAAATTTTCCTTCTGTCAAGTGAGGCAGCTCTGAGCAGTAACCATTAGATAGGACGGCTCCATGTGAATTCTGGCTAGGAGACAGACACATCACTGTAGTTTAGATTAAAATCAAGCATTCTTTAATGGAAAGGAAGGTCCAAACACAGTAGAGCATTTATAGCTATTCTTCTCCCTCCTCTTCATCTTCATATGAATCAATGCCCACCTCTTCATAATCCTTCTCGAGGGCAGCCATGTCTTCGCGAGCCTCAGAGAACTCCCCTTCTTCCATCCCTTCCCCAACATACCAGTGCACAAAGGCCCGCTTGGCATACATTAGATCAAACTTGTGGTCCAGGCGGGCCCAGGCCTCAGCAATGGCTGTGGTGTTGCTCAGCATGCACACTGCCCGCTGAACCTTGGCTAGGTCTCCCCCAGGAACCGCAGTGGGGGGCTGGTAGTTGATGCCCACTTTAAAGCCTGTAGGGCACCAGTCCACAAACTGAATGCTGCGCTTGGTCTTTATGGCGGCAATAGCAGCATTGACATCCTTAGGTACCACATCTCCACGATATAAAAGGCAGCAGGCCATGTATTTGCCATGGCGGGGATCACATTTCACCATCTGGTTAGCAGGCTCAAAGCAAGCATTTGTGATCTCGGCCACGGAAAGCTGCTCGTGGTAGGCCTTCTCCGCAGAGATGACCGGGGCATAGGTAGCCAGAGGGAAATGGATACGCGGGTAGGGCACCAGATTGGTCTGGAACTCTGTCAGGTCTACATTCAGAGCCCCATCAAAGCGCAGCGAGGCAGTGATGGAGGACACAATCTGGCCAATCAGGCTGTTCAGGTTTGTGTAAGTTGGCCGCTCAATGTCCAGGTTCCTTCGGCAGATATCATAGATGGCTTCGTTGTCCACCATGAAAGCACAGTCTGAGTGCTCAAGGGTGGTATGGGTGGTGAGGATTGAATTGTAGGGCTCCACCACAGCTGTTCATATTTGAGGTGCTGGGTAAATAGAGAATTCCAGCTTGGACT